GAAATAAGGCTTAACAATGTGCTGGTGAAAGTGGCTGCGCCCTTGAACATGGACTTGAAGAAGTGAATGAACTTCACTTGACCCACTTGGGAAAAAAAACTGCAGTGGAATGCTTCGGAATTTTCTTAATAATAGCGGTTCATCTCTTCTGTATAAAATGCTTCTCAAATATACTCTGAAGTGAACTGACGTTAAAAATGGCAGGTCTTGGGGCGCCTGGGTGGCTCAGTCGGTTGAGCGTCCGACTTTGCTCAGGTCATGATCTCACGGTTTGTGAGTTCGAGCCCCGCATCAGGCTCGCTGCTGTCAGCGTAGAGCCCTCTTTGGATCCTCTGTCCCCCTCTCTCCCCGCCCCTTCCCTGCTCACACTCTCTCTCTCAAAACTAAATCCAACTTTTTTTTTTTTTAATGCAGGTCTTAGTAGGCTTATTATGTGCACGAGGAGTAGTAGAACATAGGCGCAGAAAAATGGTCTCTCTTCCTTTCACTAATCATTAACTGCTATATTATTCGATTTTGTTGAGTTAAAGTTGCAAGAGATAACTGTAAGGCCGGTTCTGTGTTATACGTTCTCCCTCATCTCGCCCATACGGCTTCTGTTACATTAGCAGCTGTGAGCCACATGACGTCTCAAGACCAGTGCCTATGAGCATTGAGTGCCCGCGGGCAAGTAGCCAGTGAGGGCGGCACTTTATTCCTGGATGTGTTCAAAGCGGAGCGCCACCTACACCTCCCTCCTCTTCCCATTTATAAATCTACTTCTCCAAGGATATACAGATTTTTTGGCTCTATCTTTAGTCTGTTGATAACTTGAGAAAGCCTCCAACGATGAAAGTCTTGGATGGGGAGGATTCAATTCACCCAGTCTTTTCTGCATCCCTAATAGACGCTGAAAATCGATCCGAATTCTGACTCTGGGTGGGAACTGCATGCGTAAGTGTAGTGTGATGGATAAGAACACACACCCTGAAGCCAGACTGCCTGGGTTCAAATCTGCCCCTCTCGGCCCCTCTTGTTTCCGTGGCCTTAGGACCTTGGGCACATCCCTTAAGTGCACTGAGCCCGAGTTCCCCGATCTGAACCCCTATGTCATGGTTTTGCTGTGAGCATGCAATTAAATGAGCTAATATTTACAAAGTGCTTACAATAGTGCGAGATGATAGACATGCCTAATAGATGACTGTTAAGTAAATTAAATGGTCCTGATTAGACAGAGTTGCCTCTGGGTCCAAGGCTCTATTCCATTTAGACACTGTAACTCCCAGGCCGTAGGGCTGTTAGGTTGGAGGAAAGGGGGCTTCTTTTTTCCCAGTTATTCTAGAGACTTAAAAAAGAAATGGCAGTAGGACTTGACTTTGAACACCGAAGTTTATCAAGCCTCTTTCCAGCCTGGTCTGTCTGTCCAC